TACATTCCCTGGAACTTTCAGTGGTACCATTCACTGAGCTTCTTCAGGTGTCTGCAAGCTCCAGGGTTACATGTGCAGTCAACCATTCTCTCTGCGTTTGACCTAGAGAAGTGATGAGTGGGTTGTTTGTGTAGGGGAGTGGTGTTTGGGGGTTTTTTTTGAACAATCGCGCAGGAAATCTGGCACCTGGTTTGCAGGCAGGCCCTGTCCTGCCTAGCTGAAGCCACAATTTTCACTCTGAAACACCCAGATTTAAAAGTCCCTGATCAACGTGGGACCACAATATAGAAACTATTGTTAGATTAAAACTGATCTCATTTGCTCCTTGAAGCTCATGCCGTTTCCTTCCTTCACAGAACTCATGTAGGGGAGCCAGGAAAATCAATTGCATGCCTTTTTCTTACCCTTCCCCTCCCATTACACCTATGCTGTTGTACCAAGTCAACAGCGCTGCAAGTTCACACCATTCCCTCCAAAAGCTCTGTCTTTGTTGATATTAGGGGAACACAGCATGGTTTGGGTTGGAAGGAGCCTTAAAGATCATCTAGTTCCAACCCCCCTGCCATGGGCAGGGACACCTTCCACTAGACCAGGTTGCTCCAAGGCTCATCCAGCCTGGCCTTGGACACTCCCAGGGATGGGGCATCCACAGCTTCTCTGAGCAACCTGTCCCAGTGCCTCCCCACCCTCTGCGGGAAGAACTTCTTCCTGATATCCAATCTAAACCTCCCCACTTTCAATTTAAACCCGTTACCCCTTGTCCTGTCACTACAGGCCCTTGGAAAAAGTCCCCCCCCAGCTTCCTTGTAGCCCCTTCAGGCACTGGAAGGTGGAATAAGGTCTCCCCGGAGCCGTCTCTGCTCCAGGCTGAACAAGCCCATTCTCTCAAAATTCTTTCTCACATGAAAGGCAGAGAGTGGCATCCAGCAAAACCTAGCTGTGGGAGGCTTTCATCCTTCAGGTTTTGCCTTTATTAATAGTAAACTCTTGCAATATTTCTGTTCTCCAGGAGGAGGCGGATTCTTCCAGCAAAAGCGGATGAATCGCATCCTTCCATTTCCACTGCTCACTTGATAACTCCTGCTCCCCTCGTTTCCTTCTCCTGCCCAGCTTTGCATGACTCTTCAGCATTATTGTTACAGTAATTTAGTTTCAGACCGCGTCACAGGGGGGACAGCTCATCTCCAGAACCCAGTGTATCACCAGCCTCTGCTTACCCTTGGCTCTGTGGCCTTGCAAGCCAAAGCACTTCCCTGACGCGAATGCCAAGGCTTTGCAGAGGGTCGCAGGGCAGTGGAGTGGTGGTAAAGTCCCAGGAGAGGTGACTAGCTGGCTGGCTGAGCAGCTGCCCAAGAGATCCAGAGGGCTGGCGAAAGGCACCATCCTTTGGTCTGTGACAGCATTTGGTCCTGACCTGCAAGACAGAAAAATTTCTCCCTTCGTTCCAGAGCTCGATCCTGCCCTGGGTTCTCGTGTGTGTTGTTTGCCCAGAGGCTTAAATGCCAGCAGCAGACTTTTTCACCGAACGAGTGGTTGGTTTTGCTTTCTGCTCTTCACCACCAGCACTGCTGGTGCTTGTGGTTTCTCCTGAGCACTTAAGCTGCTTGTTAGGATTGCTTGGAATGTGATGTCAGCCTGCAGGCCTGGCGCCTCCAGTCTCCACGAGCCTCACTTACCTTGTAACTCCTTTTTCTTTCAGTTCGGTGACCTCACATCCCTGTCCCCAACACTGCTGGACAAAGGTACCTCCTCTCCCTCAAGGGAAGCCCCTCTGGGTCAGGGTTGAATCACTGCGGGAGGGGGAACCTTGTGCTGGCTCTTCCAGCCGGCTCTGTTGGGATAACGGACCCTTCCCTCTGGTCACCACTCATGCTGAGGCCTGTCCTTTGCAGATGACATCAGTGACCTGGGCAGCGAGGTGGACGCGGACGCCCGGAGCATGGGGGAACCGCTGGTGAAACGAGAACGCTGTGACCCCGGCCACTCGCTGCAGGAGATCTGAAACGGGGACTCGGTTTTTCTCCAGCCAGACAAAGAAATCCGGAGCCAGGTTTGGTGATAACAAGCCTGAGCCTCCCCGTATCTGCATTATTAGTGCCTCTTAGTTTTTCTTTGTTTACTTGTGTTTGAGGAAGGGCTCAGGGGTGAGCCTGGGCGGGCGGTGGGACGGGGCTGTTTCTTGGCCTGCTTTCCCCCTGCTCGCTGCCAGCAGGAGGGAGAAGGTCCAGCGTCTGCTACCGAGCGATGGAAGCCTCTGTGGTCAGCAGCGCATTGGATGTGCCTGCCTAGGAGAGGCTGCCCTCTCCAGCCTGAGCGAGGTGGGCACACAAGGCTTTCTCTTTCAGGGAAGGTGGTTTGGGTTTCTTCCCCACTTCTCAGACTTCACTGTGATACAAACTTGAACCAATCAGTGCCCAAGAAGAAGGAAAAATACCTGGCCCTTCTCCTCCAGTCTTTCAAGACAAGCTGTCCTGGCTCTGACTTTGCCAAATGGGTCATGCTGGGGCGTGGAGGACAGTTTGTGTCTCTTGTTCCTGCCTGGGGAGAGGGCTCCAGGCTGCACCTCCACCGCGTCCCGGCGGGGTGGTTCACGTGCGTGCTCTGGGACTGACACGTGCATGCTTTGGGACTCGGGACGTGCGTTCCCACCTGCTCCCGTGTCTCCCCAGCTGGGCGGTTCATTGCTGAGCCACGAATGCTCCTGGGACACTGTCGGGCCAACTCAAGATACCAAAGGACTCTGAGGAAGCAGCAGCTGGTCACAAAGTGTGTTCGTTGTTCCCCGCGCTCCCCATTGCCCGGGCAATCCCCATCCTCGCCAGGGTACCCAGGCACAGGGGGACTGGTCCCACGGCCTGGGTCTTGTAAAATTCTCGCTTGATGTCCTGCTAAAATGCTGACGGCGGGGAGCAGCTGCCCGCGGGGCTGCGTCCGGGGCACGGGTGAGGGTGTGCGACTGCAGTGCCTTAGGGTGGGCCGGCGTGCCTGCTTCCCTGCAGCTCAGATTCGGATACAACAGCCCGTCCATGCAGCGGCGAGGGGCTCTCCTGGGCCCTGGGTATGCTCAGCACGACGGTGGCGTTTCCCCTTGCTGTATCGCTTCACCTCCTCCTGCAGCATCATTGTGGTGGCTCCTGCGGGGCTGAGCTGGGGGAGCTTCTGCCCCAGGGGAGTTTTATTCTCCCTCTCCATGTCCTGTGGGGTCTGGGCTGATGTGGACTGCAGGGCAGAAGAGGGGGTGAAACTGTCATCAAGCCAAACTGCAAAAACAAAGCCCTGGGGCAAATCTTTCTGTGAATAAAGGCCGTGTCATAAATAGCTTTTATTATTATTATTTCTAATGATACAGTATTTGATGTGAGCTTTTCCAGGGGTCTGGTGTACATTTGCATATCAGAGTATATTCTATCCAAATATATTATTTCCTCATTCCAAATGGTACTAAGGTAGCTGTGACACTTTAAAACATATTGCTAATGGGAAGTAAAACAGAAGTGAGTGTAGTGGCACATCTTTCCCTCTTACTGTCCCGTGCTGTTGTCTGTCAGGGTGATGTTTGTCTGTAAGTGTCTCATATCAAAGCAGCAGGAGACAAGTGAGAAAGCTGGATTTATATGTAGATAATGACAAGGAGTACACCCTGGGTCAGAATCCGCATTTCAGATCCTGCTGATGAGATAAGATGGTCTAAAAAAACGACTGAGCAACCAAGTCTTAAACTCCCCTACTCCCACTGAGTGTGATAATAACTTCAGCTGGTGCAATGGCTCTTTGAAGCCGCTACCAACTGAAGCCAGCCACCTTCTGCTTGCCACGGACGTGCAGACGAGATGCTCTGGAGCTCTGCGGCACTGTGCAAGGAGTCTGGACAACCACCTAAACCCGATATGCACAAAATTCCCAGCTAAACCTGAATAGCAATAAACATATATCAAATGCTCAGGCCTGTACAATAATTGCTGTGGTCCCATTTCTTCTTTAAGCACTGAAAAGAGATGTCGGGCAGAGGCTGCAGCATTGTGGCGTCGGGGGGAGATGAAGGATCTGCCTAGTGCAGTTTTGGCCAGGGATCCAGTGTCTGCAGGGAGGCAGATTCACCACAACACAGCGGCTGGTTTGTAGGGGCTACACCAGAGTTCATGGAGGGAAGAAGAGGCTGAAAGATTCAGGGTGCTGCTAAGCACGGGGCCGCAAGAAGCATTTTCTAATTATGCTCCCAGACTAATTGTGAAGGATGGGAGGAGTGAG